TTTTTTTTTTTTATTTACAAGTTGACAACTAAATAAGAGCAAATTAGAAAAATTCTTTGCAAAAATTGATTTTTCAACAACATTGAGCCCTTATTTTATGGAAATTAAAATCAAATTTTTAGTAAATTTTAATAGAAATTGATGAAATGTACGGTTAAAAAGTTATGAAACCCATAAAATATGTGGTTAAAATTAATTGTTAACTTTGACTTAAATTAAAATCTATATTTTAATTGGTACCAAACAGAAGTTAAATAAAATTTCTTAAACTGTGTAAAAAATACAACTAGACTAATTCTCTGTTCCCATTTCCTTTCGACAATAACTTCAATATGTACAAGTAACATCATTCATAATTAATATTGTGTTACATGTATATAATTGTTTACATACATGTGATGCGATGAAATGTGATAGATTGTTCTAGATGTCTACAATTATTTATATAATAATTTATATACACATAATATGATAAATTATGATTGAGCCATAATTTCTTCAACAAAAAATAAAAATAGAGTAAAATAAACTTCCTCACCCCCTTTTTGACACATTATTTATATGTAAACCATTATATAACCTTATTGTGTACAAGTAACATTATTCAATAAATAATATTTATTGATTCTACGAATTATAAAATCAAAATTAAAGTTTGAATTTAAAAATAACTTTTTAAATTGAAAATAAAAAATGAAACCCAATAATTGCCCACTGTGACTAGTACACTACCATTCCCAATACCATAGCTGCATAGCACTGCATGACAGACTCAATTTAATTATACCTCTCATTTCACATATTAACGCATAGATTGATTTTATAGCACTACTGGCAATATGAAATTGCCAAATTGGCACTTAAGGTCTCCAGTCCACACACGTGCCACATTTACGAGTTGAATCTCTCCTCATTAAGGCGATTTATTATGTAACACTTGCTAATGGGACCAAATAAAGATCAAGAGGAAATAATACAACACTCTTAACAGTCTTAGTGCCAATGAAACAAAACTCAAAGATGCGACAACGGCCATTCAAGTTTGTAGCAAAAGCATAGCTAGTTTTATGCACACGACTCGTACAAAGAAACACTGAAAAATATACTTATCTAACCAAGTTAAGTTCAACAAACTTCAAGGCATAGTAAGATTTACGTCAATTCTTCTTCATTTACTAAGAAATATCATAAAGTTAAACGGATACTTCTTGAATTTCAATCGTATTCCAAGGAAAACCGAATGATGGGAATTGCAACCAAGTCATCGAGGACAAAGAACGTACATCCATTACTCATAACATGTCCGAACTAAACAAAGCATACTTCAAGAACATATTATTTTGAAATCACTGTGCAGAAAACATATCCTCATTCCTTCTTCCCAATCCCATGAGACATGTTATAGATCCCTCTTCCCTGAACGGCGATCATCAAGAACAATCAGATCAAACTCAATTTGAATAAAAATAGCCTAAACACTTAAAAGAGCAAAACGAACTCACAATCATATATAAAGAAGTAGCAGCCAAAGCCAAAGGAATGGCGACTGAAGTAATCTTGTCATACGGTCCTTTCAGATATGTGTGTTTGTGGATGCTCTGAAAATACTTCTGCTTCTCAACCAGCTTTTCCCATGGTCTAAAGGGCTCTTCAGACATCCTGCATTATTCATTTATTCTTCAACTATTCTGTTCTATTCCCTAAAACAAAACTTCTCAGAAAAATGGAAATCGATAACCAAGAGACTCATTACAACTTCTCAATCTACTGAGTAAGTTTCATGTTGACAAGAAGAAGTCAGATAAGCATTTCAATGATTTATCCAGTCTACATTTGTTTTTCTTCATCCCGACAGGTGGGCGTAGAGATAAGATTGGCAAATCAAACTTGCTCAACCTTTAAACAGAAATGAACATATTCTATCTTTGGGGATTATTTTAAGTGCAAGAAATTAGCAGTAAAAATAAACAATTTTCATTTTTCGTTTTTCCTCACTGTAATAACAGCATTTTCTCTACTCAATTCTTAACATCAGGACGCCAAATACTATTCCAACAAGGAATTGAGATTCAACGAGCTATACCAAAATTCCCAACACAAATATTAAACCTTCAAAATCCAATGAAATACATTCGCACAAACTACATATTCTCAAAGATACGACCATCAAACAAAAATTAAAAACAGAAAAGGACTGAAGGCCTAGATCTAATATAGGATAACGAATTCAACAGATCAAATATCCGTAAACAAGAACGAATCCTAGATACTGACAAACTTACTACTAGGCCAAAATGATAAATTTTGGGAACAAAAGTATGATCAAGATTAGAGAGAGAAAAATAAACTTGCCTGATTGTGAGTTGGAAAGGCACGAAGTAGCAGAGACTGGAGCCGTAACACTGTAGATGATAATAAGAGAGTGCTAAAAATGGCAATCGCAAGGGCAAGGGTTGAAAATTGTGAAGAAATTCGGGTCAGACCGGTGAGTTTCTTCCTGTCTGGTGTCTGTTCAGGAAGCGGGCCTGCTGTCAAGGACCGAACAAACCGAAATGACAAAAATAGCATCTATTGGGTCCAAACTTCTTCTATAGTACTCTATTGTACGCATCTACTACCAGCAGTGATTATTTATTGGGCAGTGCAGGCACATTACAGAACCCAGTAAAGGTTTTTACAAAGGGATGGAGTCGAGATTTTTTTCTTCATTTTTTATTTCATTGAAGTCCACGTGGGACCGATCCCATGTGAGGGGTCGGTAAGAGCTCCGTACACAGAGCTTTGCCCTTATTTATTTATTTATGAATTATTTTAGGAAGGGGATGTTTTACTTTTAGCCTTTAGGTAATATTTTTACCTCCGCATTTTGATGTCATCATATTTTTTACTCGTAATTCATCAATTCTGGATATAAAGTGAGCCATATCGAATTTAAACTACCAAATTTTTTTGGCTTGTTTAGGCTGCAAGTTTCAAAACAATGGCACAGTACGACCCAAAAAATCTCTTGGATGGAGTCTTGTTGGGATTCTTTATTGTGACCGTTTACTAGTTTAATGGTCAAAATTCTACTCGTCACCATTTTCAAAGTTTCAAAAGGATGTGCAAGTCAAGAATTTAGTTGAAATAGGACATGAAATTAACAATCAAATTGCTAGTAAAAGATGAAATTAAAAGTCAAAAGGAGAGTTGCCAAGAAGGATCTTAAAATAATTTTCCATGCAAAGCAACTCCAAGAGTCAAAGAAAAGCACTGGAATCAACACTGAATAAAACCTTTTGGATATATAAATTATTTCCATGTTTCACATTCAATTAAATTTACATGTAAAAACCAATTTAGTTCTCAAAATGAATATGTTTTATCAAATTGTCATTGGAACTGACCCCATCTTTTAACTGTTGTGATTTGAGTACTACAACCATAAATGGAATCCATTGTTCAAGCTTAGGTCACTCATGTTGTGAAAACGGGAGATAATACCGAATTAATTCAATACCATTTTTTTTTTTAAAGAAAATAAAAGATTCAGCCACAATATGAAGCAATTGATCATAAAAACACAAAAACAATGCAATTATATCAAGAATTGAGATTTTATTATAATATGAAGAAAGAACACAAAGATTATATATTTACAATGTTTCTAATTTCATACTAAATCATAATGAAGTGCCAACTATATATAGGGAACAAATAGAAGACATCCAAACTCTTATAGTAGAGCTGTAACTGAAGTAGAATGCAAGAAATTGGAGTCCAAAACGGAGTAGAGGAGGAAAAATTGGGTAAGAGGCAAAGCAGATAGGTGGCGTTGCACCGTCATGCGAAAATCGTTGGAGCCACGGCACCCACTTTAGGATCCTTTATTCCAAAATCTCAATTTTCTTCATCCCAATGGTCTTTTAGACTTCAACACAAATTCCTACTCCAATAGGCTTCCAAATAGAATTTCAATTAGAATTTACCAAGTAAACTTGAATAGGATTTCATGATAGCATTCCAAATAAAATTCTTCTTATTATGCACTTTAATTAGAACTCTCAAATATCTTTAACAAAGAATTTGAATCATACTCTTATTCTAACAACTCCAAAGATCCAAAACTCGATCATTGTAGAATGTGTTCGTTTTCTATTTAATTGCCAAGTTTTTATGAGATTCTATGCTAAAATTTATTTTCATTTATATTTTTGTTATATCCCTATTTCACATAAACATACATCAGTACATGTGACATGTAATGGGCTTACACAACAGTTAATTAGGCAATTGTCTCCTTTTTAGGCGTCCGAATTGATTTGAAGCTATACACAAGTCGACCACACAACATTCCTACAATTAGTACCACGTTATAATCAAAGTCGAGCACAAATCGATTAATTGATTATTATTGATCAATTGTGTCGTGATAATGAACACAACACTTTATAGCGAAATAATACTTGACGAGGACAAGAGATGTGACGTGACTTTCATCTGTCACCACTCTTCATATTTCTATACGTATACATTGTTCATATGCAAATTATCCAATATTTCTTCCATTTGTCTGTTCATATGATCTTGAAATCAATGCAGTAATACTTGAATAATCACTCAAAAAGACCAAATAATAATAATAATAAATCAAAGAGATGAATGATACATATCCTTCAAAGAAGATTATTAGAGATTTTCAATAATTCTACTATAGGATCACCATCGTGCTTCAGGTACACATCATTTACGATTATTAATTTAAATCAACGGCCAAGATTGCAAGTAATCTTAAGTAATTTATAGATCATGTTGTGAGAAATTGTGGGATATCGGTGTAGTTGCATACAAAAGATGTTGTGACTTTTAATTGAAGATAAATAAATTAGAAGTGCGACCTTCTGGATATAAAAGACTTGTTAAAATGGGTTCTTTTGACCCTTTATATTCAGCGGCTACGGTAAAATATGGTGAGAGATGAGAATTGCATAGCCAAAAGTTAATTAAAATAATTTGTACTTGGATGGTATGAGATGTGTTACATGTGCATATATGATCTCTAGTCGATATTTTTTGTTCTTGTATAATATAATATTGAACTGTATGATTTGAAAAATTAAGCTGTTAGATAGATAAAATATATATTATTCAAATAATAGTCATTATTCATTTTTTTGATCAAAAGCTAATGTGTGAACAATTGATTTAAATAGATAATAGGGAGACTCAAATTCTGGATATTTGCTATCTCTGATAGCGTGTTGAACCATTAAAATGAAAGTATTATCTAAATATTATCTTTAACATATGATGTATAGGACTGACTTACCTCATGTTTGGTGGTGATTAAAATAAGAATTTTAATAGATTTTGATAAAAATTGATGAAATATGTGGTTGAATAATTGTCAGTTTCATCACTCTCATTAAATGTGTGGTTAATATTAATTGTTGACTTCGATTTAAATTAAAATTTTAATTTTAATTGCTATCAAACACGGCTTAATGTCAAAATTGAGGACTCTTTTCTCGAGCCTAAAAATTCTTGTAACTCCCATAAATATGGTAGCTTGATGCAGAACTGAGTGGAAGTAATAGAAAATTGGAAATTAACAACGGTCAAATTCTGGCTTCTGCGCAATATGCCAAAAGGCAACACCGCACTCAATCTCAATAATTAATCCAATGTTAGTTAATTCTTCAATTCTTATCTTCGTTGGTTGACTTGGTGTTTGAAAACTTACAATTTGAGCGAAAATTATGGTCAAACTCAATAACATGTACGATTGGAAATATATTTTGATAAAAAAATGTGGTTCAAACAAGAGCTATATTTTTATTAAAAGTGATTTCATCTGAACACAAATGAATAATCCAAGATTCGTAGTTTGATTACGTTGCGACGGTCATTTCGTAGTCTTTTGTGTGATTGATTATGTTATAATGAGGATATAATTATTTATAGTAAAGATCTTGAGACAAATTTTTTTTTTTAAAATTAAGGTTGCGGTTGGTTTGGCATTTCGGGCCATTTTTCGTTTTCGAAAACGCAGAAAACGCGTTTGATCCGTCGTTTTCGAAGCATTTTCGAAAACGAGTTAAAATCTATAACTGAAAACGCAAAATAACTTTTTATCATTTTGAGCGTTTTCAGTTAGAAATTTCCAAAACATGGAAAACGCCAAAAACGCGCCGTTTTCAGGGAAAACTAAAAATCGTTTTGAAATAGAAAATAAAAAATGGAAAACTAAACCAACCGCAGCCTAAATTTTTTATCATCTTGTTTTACTTGATTTTGCAAAGGGAGTTTCTGACTATTTAATGGGACAGTTAAAATACCAAGATTGAAGAAAAAAAATGACCTGTATTTTTGACTTGAATATATGCTGTTATAAATTCCTACGTCCAAATAAAGAATTATATTGGTAAGAAATAGACCTTAATTTTTGACTTGAATATATGCAGTTATAAATTCCAATGTCCAAATAAGGACTTATATTGGTAAGAAATCACTGTCTTTAATTAAATTTAGTGACATATTGAAAAGAAGTGACCATTTGCCCAACTTGCACTTTCCTTGATGCATTTGATGGAGGCCGATCAAGTCGACGGCTAAAGCCCATCATTTTCTTCATATATCCCTTTTTCCGGAGTTCATATGTCTAAATTGTGACATGCGGTCGGAAATTTCTTCCCCGAGTCCTTCTCCAGAAGGCATTAATATGACTTGTAAACTCGGGTTGAATTTCAATTTGGTACGTATGTGTGTACAAAGTTTTGAGCCATTAAGGCCTCTACAAGTCAAATTATTTGAAATTGGGCATGCAAGATATTTCTGCAATAGGGGTGGGGACCATACAGCCGGCATTTTTGAATTCATGTGGGGTCCGCATTTTTTGTGAGTGTGTGTAACCCATTTTGTCAAAATTTGTGAGTACATATATATTAATCCATTCCTTTTAGTACTTNAGTTTTCTCCATACTATTAAAGCTCGAGCGAGTAAAAATGGCGGTGGCATATTTGGGACGATCGAAGGAAGAGAGATGAACAGTTCGACATATCATGAAGGAAATGATTGGAATGAAAGTAGAATTAGAAAAAAATAATCATTGAGTCAAATCAGTAAAACAAAACAAGAAAAGCGACGAATCATTCGAATATAGAAACTCGACCAATTTCGACCTAGAGATAAAGAGTAATGCCAATTAGTTTTAGTGGTGCTACATCCATTTCATCTCTTGATATTGAGGTCTTCACTCACAGTCATAGGAATGCCTAACACTAGAAAAATGGAGATTTCATGTATGAGAGTCATACTGGATTGATATAAATAAAGAACTAGAAATTTGCAACAAAATTGTAATGACGAGTAGTTTGTTGTTTGGCTGAAATGATTTCGGATCCATTTTTTTATTTTTCTATCTAATTTCAACCATTCTACATGTACACTTTTTTTCACAGTACACATACATGCAAGTGGGTGGGATCCACGATTAAAATAATCGTGGACCCTACC